TTTATTTTTTATTTGTTAGCACACAGTAAATAATTTTTCGTTAAATAAAAATACGCGATGTTTATTTCGTAAAATTACAACAGCGCCATCTATATGCTCCTTGGCGAAACTAACAGTTGATACTAGACTTGACTATCAAGACTCCGCTTGTTTTATTTATTTTTCTTCATGAAAATGCGGAATAATTATTGAAAACAATGTAATTTTAATAGATTTTATTATTACATACTTTTTTTTTAACAGTCAAAATTCTCTGAACGTAAATGACATTACGTACTTAAACATTATACTACGATAAGACGATTCGGAACATCAAAAAATAAAGAGATGGCATTATATAGTTCATATAGCGCTATCTCTTTCCTATTTTTAGTAAGGAATAGTTAATATTGGTAAATCATTCGTATTTTCAATCATTTTTGCAATAATACGTTACTTGGTTGACAGGTTCGTCATGGTAAGAATATGAGGAATATTATAATAAGCTTATTTTAAGCTTACATTGAAATAAGATTGTTTTTGGAAAGGTTAAAGTAGGCCCCCTGGTTCTAACTTTCATACATCTCTTTCACATTATTCATATTATTAATAATTATTATAAAGTTTTTATTTCACTATAGTCTTAAACCTAAACTGAGACTCCAGCTACAGCTACTACTTAGGCTGCTCGAACGACATTCCGGAAAACCACTCGAGTAAAACAATTACCGTCAACAATTGCATATATCGATTGATAAAGTTTTAAAAGTATATTTAGTGTCCGTAATTATTCTTATGACGCAACTCACAGACATTTTAATATCTCACTAGTTGGTCTTGGGTTTTCCTCATGGTTTACCGATGTAACGGGAAGTTCAAGTGATGAAAAAACTCCTCGGCAGGTGTTACACGCCACATAATTTCCCTCAATTCAATAAGGCCATATCAGCAAAATGGCATCTTTTGAAGGAGAAAGGTTTAAATATTATACGAATGAAATTAGTAGATAGCTTTGTAAAAATTATAAATGTCATAGTACCCATCATATGTGAAACGAAACTATAATTAATTAGACTGCATTCCAAAACCAATATACGAGTACACAAAACAACAAAATTATCCTTGTATTAATGCGAGGCAAGCAATCCCTGTTCCCGCCGAGACTTAGTACGTAATTTTTCACAAACATATATAATATAATATACAATAATAAAAGACTAAAGAGATGAAGATGTTTAATAGAAAAAGTAAAAAAATAATAATTTTAAGTAATATTTTCATTGACGTGTTAGAATAATTGCCTAGAAAGTGTTATTTTTTTTCCAGGCATATTAATATCAGTCTGCTCAACTTCTGATTATGTGTTCAAATGTGTATCTATTACTGTATTTTCGTTATCGCTCTTCTCACTAGCACTTATTTTCGCGACAAAGACACACAGTTCATAAATGACAAACTCCGTTTTTTTTAAAGTAATGCAAACACCTCCGAGCATATTTGAGAAATAATAATTTAGCGTAGAACAAAACAAATATTTAAAAGATAAATTTCTTTTAAAAATAATAAAATGAATTTTTCAAAGAACATAGGAAAATGTTTCGAGATCAAAATAAATGTACTGGATACAAGATGATTAAAAGCTAAAACTCGGGCGATACACGCAATTGCGTCTTGTATAAATTAATTTTAGAATTAAAAACATCCAGATGAGCACTACATCATAGGCTCGACACGTTTTTACTGTAGGGTTGTAGAAATAGGTATTAATGTAACAGATTTGGCAAATTTACAACTTTTTTTGTTAAGTCCACCAATAATACTTCCCACGTCACTGATTTTCTCAACATTCTTCTCGATAACGATGTCAGAATGTTCATGTTTTTTAAGTACAACCCTACTATTACTAGCAGTCGTTTAGAAGCAGAAGAGATCCTTGAGAAAGAGTTCGTCCAGGCTACTTCTACCTTACCTATTTCTGCCGCCAAGCAGTAATGTCAGCATTACTGTGTTACCGGTTTTGAAGGGTAAGGGTGCTGGTGAAATTACAGGCACAAGGGACTTGTCAACTTATGTCTCATCACTTAGTACCTACATATGATTATCATTAGTATCAGGTTTCTTACCACGGTATGACTTCTTTTTATTTTCCCGATATTTCGGAACGGTTGCACGCTCCATGGTCACGAGTTGACTGGACGGCGGCAGATGACAGCTTTAAGAGCAGACGTCTACCCTCTTGCGCTGTCGACGACTACCTTCATCGCGATTTGTTGTGGCGTTACCATTGTCACTCACTTTTTTCACACAAACCACACTCGCTGTATCCACACGCGAAACTGAACTCGAGGTGTTTTTGTTTTTATTACTGCACGCACTAAGGACCGGATTCCATGCACTGGACAGTTTAAAAGCATCATCACGGTTAAATGTTTTGTACTTCGTGATCTCGATCTCGAAATATCGGGAAAATAAAAAGAAGTCATACCGTGGTAAGAAACCTGATACTAGTGATAATCATTTAGTGAATAACCACGAAAGTCTTAAAATCTATATAGTACCTACATACCTTAAAAAAATACGTTTCTCGCGCGTTTGCATCAATGCTGTCGCACGTTTACATTGATGCAATCACGAACCACCACCACCATCACTAACCATACTTAAGCGACATATACCATTGTTACTTCTGTACGCCGCCGTGGTTATGGTTTTTATACTTCGGTGGGCTTTAACAGCCTACAGCCGATAACGCATTTACGACTGTAAACACGTATCACGCCTTCAATACTTTTCCAGGTGTCCGTTATCTCGATGGTGGTCATGCATCTGGCTTCAGCCACGTGACCATCAACCCAGGAGCTGAGAAACGGCTCTTCCAGATTAAGGGCAAGAGAAATGTGCGCGTCAGGCAGGTAAGACCAGAGATATATAGCGTCTCTTAGCGTATTCTATCGCCTGTACCACGGTGAGTGCTCTGAAGAGTTATTCAACCTTATCCCTTCCTCTCCTTTCCATCAGCGGACCACCCGTGCCGGACTGCGTTGCCACAGATGGACGGTCAGTTCAATACCGTCCCGCACTAAAAAGTTTGGCAATTCGTTTTTATGCCGAACCATCAAATTGTGGAACCAACTCCCGGCGCATGTATTCCCTCCCCTCTATAACATCGGGTTCTTCAAACGTAGTGTGAAGAAGCATTTGGCCAGACCGGCAAAATGATAGTGACGGAGTGAAGATATTTGTGTTTTCCATCCGTTACTCTCATCTCTGGACTGTATTCGCACTTTCCATCAGGCGCGGTGCAGTCATTTTGCCGAGTCACAATAAAAAAAAAATAAAATAAAAAAAAAGACCGCGAACTCGGGGTCAACTGGTTAGAAAAGCTCAGAAGGGCTACTATGACGTGTCGGGCGTGCGTCGGGTCGGTATCGTGGCGGGAGTAATTCCGTATATTTAGATGGACGATAACACACCATGTGCGGGCGCGGTATAGGTTCAGGACCCCGATTCAGAGCTCTTCGATATTTTAACCGAATCGTTGGATTGAACATCGTTCTCGAATTCGAATTAAACGTTCGATTCTGATACGAATACGGGGGTCTACTCTCGATCTCTGTACGAGATCTGTCCGTAACAATTACTATCAAATAAGTAATATTCGACAAAATTAAAAGACAAGTATCCAGTATGAAGCATCATTCGCATCACGCGTCTTTTCATTTGGTCAAGTATTGCTTATTTGGCAGTAATTGTTTCGGACGGATGTCGGACGGAGACCAACAGTAGACCCCACGATATCGTTATCCAACAGCGTTTACGGAGTTAGTCGGTGAAATAGATTATAAGAAATATGAAAATAATTTTATATACATTTTTATGACTTTAAAGGCCGAAAATATAGGAATGCATTAGTCTTGCAATAAAATAAATTCATAAAATTGAACAAAGTCCAGACTTTATTTAAAGCAATAAGAGATTTCCATATTACATTCTTTGTAAACAATAGGACGTTCGGTAACTTTCATTCGATAATTGTGTTCTGAATAACGTTTGTAGCCTTTGCCGGTCGAGAAGTTCGAGTAATCGTACGGGTGTGACGTCATTTCGGTTCGGTTTCGAATACGACAGTTTGGCGTTCGATTCGGGTGTTGTGAATAAAAATGAAAAGAAATCATACGACAACAAATCGAATCGGTCGGCAGGTTTCGTTACGATGTTTTCGTTCTCCGAAAAGATCATGATAAATTTCAAATTAGATTTCGCACATAAATTCCGAGAAACTCCGAGGTGCGAGATTCGAACCCTATGCTTCGGCTTGTAAGGCAGTATGTCAAACCATAAGACTACCACGGCTACTTCATTACATAAAATAAAAAATTTTGAAATGTGTTACTGACATTTTCAGTGTGCGATATGGTTCTAAATAATTTTGATATCTCCAGGTGGAACCTTCGGTGACATCAATGAACAAGGGCGATTGTTTCGTGCTGGATGTGGACCATACAATCTATCTCTATGTGGGTGAAAAGGCTGGTCATGGTGAGAGGTTGAAGGCCATATCCGTCGCTAACAAGATCAGAGATCAGGACCACAATGGAAGAGGAAACGTTGAGATTATTGGTAAGCATTCTGGAGACACTGTTTTATGATGTCAAGTAATGAGAGGAACAAATTGCGAGTGAAAGGAAAGCGACACGTTACAAAAAAAACCAAATATTCTTTTGGTAAGACATGAAAAAGGTACTGCACGACACGCTTATTGATGTAACTTAAAAAAAAAAATAGTACATTGTACAACAAGTGCACAAAACGCGTCATTTCAAGAGGGTGGATATTTAAGTCGAGGGTAAAATGAGTTTTATGAACGAGTACTCTGCTTTTCACTTCGATTGCGAGGAAATTAAACAGCTACATTACAAATAAATCTGGTCAGACCATTGACTTACAATTATATGGAAGACGGGTCTAATACAAAAACCACGAAAAAAATGTCCCAAGTCAACCTATTTAAACGTAGTGACATGTATAGGAATATGAAAAAGCTTAAACGTGAATTTGAATTGTAATGTCATCGCAGTACTGTCTAATTTTGCTTGCTTCGCTGTCAGTCGAACAAACGAAGACTAAAGCGTGAATGTCGCTCTGTATACGATTTTAACGCCCTATAAGTTCGGACACTTTTTAGCACGGACCCGACGTCCATATAATAAAATTGTAAGTCAATGAGTCAGACTACATAATGCTCGGCTATATTTTACAAGCTTTTATTTTTTATTCATTTCTATTTTTTGTAACTTATTAGAATTACTACTGCCTACTTTTTTGATTTTGTAATATAACACGGTTTAAAAAAGATAAAAGTAAAACTTTATTTCATAATGCTCTAGTGTGTGTGGCTGTTGGCTCAGGCGCTATTGCCTCGGTCTTAAACGATGATTTTATTTTATGCACTAGAGCAATAACCATAGTTTATACAGCCTACATCCAGCATAAATACGAACTCTAAGAGCATGAAAAGTTAAAAAATCTTTTGTATGTTTCTGAAAAAATAACACAGCACGCTCTTTTCTTTTCTGAAATGGTTTATGTACAAAATTCGTATAGTTTCACTGTGTCCAGCCAAACAGTAGGCATACAAATATTGAATACATTCACTCACATGCACTTCGACAGACTAAACCAGGTGTAACGTTTCGTTTTTAAATAATATTACATGAGCGTGCACACATGGATTTAATAAATCGGTCAGAATTTAAACGCGATGACAGTTACATGGGTCGATTTTAATGGTAATTAGATGTCAAAATAATATCGTAACATGAATAACGTCAATAACGTCCAATGTCAAAAATTAGACAACGAATTTAGGGGTTTATCATTTAAAAATTCAGACACTGTATAGTTCATTTTATAAGTTTTATTATATATTTTTTTTTTCTAAATAAAATAAGATACTGACTATGTTTATTTAGACATTGTGCATATATTACACGATTAGGTACTCTCGCATTTCCAGTATATATATTTAACCGATTTTGATGATTTTTCTTTGTTGGTGGAAAGAGGATACGTCATTAGTCCCATTTAAATTTGAAGACAATATTCCACCTCTAAGGGTGGCAAACTAGGGGATCAATCCGGTTTCGCGCACTTTCCGATAACCGATTTTAATACAACTTGGCAAATAGATGTAATTCCAATAAAAAAGCCGACAAGAAAACTTGTGAAGTCAATTTTTTTTTTAATAAAAAGTTACAATTGAATATACTTTATAAATACTGTAAATGTGAATTTCCGATTTAATGATCTCTTGACACATCTCTTGACAATCACAGACCCCACATGTTTCAAACATATACTTTACAAATCAAGAGGCATAAAAATAGGCTTGCAATTTCATATGAAGCTAAGTATTTTGTATTTGAAGGTAAGTAAAAATCATTTTATAAATATATATTTCATTAAACAGACATCTTAAGATTGTTTACATTTAGTTAAGTGCCTAAACAAATGGACTATAGACAAGAGTTTGATGCACTGTTCTATAAATTCTCTCCGTAGAGGAGATCCATGGTCGACAATAACATATACTATGGGTTGATGAGGTTGACAAACGTAACAACGTTTGTTTATTCTGTGTGGGATCGTGCAAAAATATACGCACTTAAACTGTTTTATCTGTTGAATTGTTAAGAGCATTCCGATACTGTATATTTCGAGTGGCTTTTCAAAACATCGTAATGATAAATATATCACGTGTTTATTGAAAGATTTCGAAACATTATGAAACTTAAAATAAGTATATATAAATCTATGAAAGATTTATCACCCAGTTAGTACCTTTACAGCTACCAGTCCTGGCGAGAGATGTCGCTATTCACTGTATTAATTAAATTTTTATTGAATTGATATTCAATTATTTTTTGTGACATTACTCCACTAGTTTCTTATAATTATTAATACGAAGATCGAACACTCAGAAAAAATTCCTTCGATCCGGCCGGATTCGAACCGACGTCTTCTAGCATACCGTGACAGACGCTATACCAACTAAGCCACGGAACGACCCAGCGGACCTCACGAATTTTTCTAACTGCTTGTGGTCGTGTCTTTGTATTTGGTTTTTCAACGACTTTTTAGTCGTAGCGCCATCTATGAGAAATCTATGAAAGTTTTATCACCCAGTTAGATTAGATAAGTATATATAGCAAATTTGTTACTTTAATAACACACACACTCAACGTAGCCCCGCACTAGGGAAACCCTGTGTCGCAGGTGCAATGGATACACACATAGACAACCACAAATTACACATAAACTCACGAGAGAAATAGGCTATACAAATATTTCTCCCAGCCTAGGAATCGAATCGTTAGGCATTTTGAGATTCGAAGTTTCTAGAGACGTACTGATGTAAAATCGAGATAGTTTATAACGAAGAGAGAATCGATTTAGAGACTATAGTTTAGAAACAAATAATAAACAAAATAAAAAGGATTCAGTTATTATGTTATCAAGTTACTTAAACAATAGGTACACAACAATTATAAAAATTAACAACAACAAAACAAATAGTCAAAAAAAAGCATAAAACCAATAACAACGAAACGAAATTAAAAAACGAAAAAACGCAAAGTTAATAATCTCAGTACAGAGTACTAAAAAAACCGACCTCAAAAGTACGTGGAATTACGTCTATTTGCCAAGTTTTATTGAAATATCCCCTAGTTCGCCACTATATAGGAGTTGACACAGGAGATAATAAAAATCGGTTCTCACTACTCAAAGTATATAGAGAAAAAAACGCCTTGAATTGCAGAATAGCAAAACCAACCATTAAAATAATTTCTCCTTAAGTAAAATTTAGGCGCTATTTATAAAAATGAATTTTCATGCGTGAACAGCCACCCTTAGTGGTGGATGATTTTGTTCAAAATGAAATGGAGGTACCCTCTTTCCAATAAAAAAGAATCATGAAAATCGGTTCACAAATACCGAAGTTATCGCGTAACATACATAAAAAACTAGTTTTTTCAAGGCGGTTAAAAACAAAAGAAATCGACCCGCATACGAGGTGTATGCATTCATATTGACGCGAGGTCGATTCCATGGTGTAAACCTCTATGGATGTATATTCCATTCTAAGCATCAAGTAAGTATTCTTTTTTTTTGTGTCATCAAGTGACGGGACGAATAAGTCGTGCGCCTGATGATTATCTACATGCCTTAACAGTTGCAGTGCCACTCAGAGCTTTAAATCGCAAAGATCTGAGGGGCACATCGGCAGTGCCCGGCAGTGTTTATAAGGGCATTAAGCATTTAGTAAGTAAGTAGTTACATTTGAAAAACGATAATAATTGTAAATAGGTCATTATTGTAAATAAGTAGATTTATTATTAATCCTGTAAAATAGTGCAACGACGACGTTACAGATGCTGATCTCCTTCAAAGTCATCCCACCTTTTTAACTGACTTCAAAAAAACGAGGACGTTCTGAATTCGACCCCATTTAATTTTAAAGAAAATCATCCACCTCTAAGGGTGGCTGTTCACGCATGAAGATTCATTTTTGTAAATGGCGCCTAAATTTGATTGTAATGAGCAATTATTTTAATGGTTGATATGGCTATTCTTTGATTCAAGGCGTTTTTTTCTCAATATACTTTGGGTAGTGAGAACCGATTTTTATTATCTCCTGTGTCAAGTCCCTTAAAGTGGCGAACTAGGAGATGAATCTGGGCTTGCGCACTTTCCGGTAACCGATTTCAATAAAACTTGCTAATAATATGTAATCCCACGCACTTTTGAGGTCGGTTTTTTTAGTACTCTGTATTGTCTTTTTATAATATCAAGTGACTGGACAAACAAGTAGCCTGGCGTACGCTACACGCCTGTCCATAACAATTGCAGTGCCACGCAAAGCTTTCAATGGCAACGACATGAGGGGTCTGCCACTGCGACCGTCACCCTGACACATAAGTTGACGTCCTTTGTGCCTGTAATTTCACTAGCACCCCTACTCTTCAAAATCGGAATGCAACAATGATCACATTACTTCTTGGCGGCAGAAGTAGGTAAAGTGACAGTACTTCCCTGGACGAACTCTTACGTAGTTTAGTAGTTGGGATAGTTTACCTTTATCATTCCAGTTTCTATCTATTTTATGTACTGTAATTTTTACTTAATATTGCTATTAAAACAAACATAGTTTGTTATTGGTCTATTATAACTTTACCATGTCTTTTGTCCTATGTGAAATGGACAATAGGAATTTTCCTAAGCACCGAGTAGGTATATAACCAGAAATACAGACAAAATAAGGGTCATCCATCAAAGTCAAAGTCAAAGTCAAAGATTATTTATTCCATAGGTAAAATAAATTTACACTTGAAAACGTCACATTTAAGCTACTGCTCGTTCACTACGCTGACCTCCCTGAGAAGAACGAGCAAGAAACTCTAGGGATTGCTCTTTTCAAATAAATTTAAATGCTATGGAATACACTTCGAATCAAATTTGTGTGGATTCTGGAGCCATGTCGTCTTTCCATACATCTTTATCTAACACGTAGTCTTCAATTTTGTAATATGATCATCCGTGGCAACTCAGCAGACAAATGG